TGACATATTCGAATAATCCAAAAAGTAATAGTTTTTGTCAATGTAATCCAGGATGGTCGGGACGATATTGCACTATTCCATATAGTTGCATGTGTTCATCTGATTCAATATGTATGGGCGTATCTGCTTACAATCGATCTGTATGTGTTTGTCCTATTAATAAATTTGGTGATCGATGTCTTCTTGTCAATACAATTTGCCAAATGGATAAAAATTTAACATGTGAAAATGGCGGTCAATGTATTTCTGCTGATGAATATATGATATCGACTAGAAAATTTGTATGTATTTGTCCAAAAGGTTATATTGGTGATCGATGTGAAATAGGTGATAACAAAATAATTCTATCATTTCAAAAAAGTATTGTTTTATCTCAATCGATATTTATTCATTTCATTCAAGTTATTAATAATAGTCCACCGATGAGAACAACAACTTTTCGAACAATTTCTCTTACAAAAAATTCTCTTATAGTTTATTGGTCACAACCATTTCATCTTGTTTTTATTGAACTTTTCGATGAGATTTATTATTTAGCTGTTATTCAAAAAACTTATGAAAGATCAACAACAATTAATAAAATGATAAATCCATCAGATCGTTGTCGACATATAAATGAATTATTTAATGAAACATTTGTTCAGATGAATGTTCTTCGTCGCATCAAATATTATCATTTACCATGTCAAAAATATTCATCAAATCTTTCTTGTTTTTATGATGATCTTCATATTTGTTTATGTTATGATTATGGAAAACAACGTTTAGCGAATTGTTTTGAGTTTAATCATAACATGAAATTTGATTGTTTAGGTCAAAGTGTCTGTGAAAATGGAGGTCAATGTTTTCAAGATACTCCAGATTGTCCACAAAGATCAATGTGCATTTGTCCAACATGTTTTTATGGAACACGATGTCAATTTAGTTCAAGTGGATTTGGTTTGTCACTTGATGCTATATTAGGCTATCATATTCAACCACATATTAGTCTTATACATCAGTCAAATATTGTAAAGACTAGTTTAGCATTAACTATAATCTTTATGGTAGTAGGATTTATCAATGGAGTTTTAGCTTTAATTACATTTAACAATAAAACTATATGTGAAGTTGGTTNATATAGATAAATACATTTGTATTTTGGTAGCGTTTTGACCGCCGGTATACCGCGGTACCTAATAAAACCGCCGTTACACCGCGGTACTTAATAAAACCGCCGGTATACCGCGGTACTCAATAAAACCGTCGGTATACCGCCGGTGTACCGGCGGTTTCTTAAAGTACCGCGGTATACCGGCGGTAGTTCATGTAAATGTGCGACATGGGCAATTATACCTTTGGTCAGCACCAATAGATGTTGTTGAACGTTATCAATTCTATTTAAACAAATTATCAACATCAAATGATATATTTCTGGAAACACAAGTATTCTATAATTGTACGCTACCAAGATTTGGTTCCATGTGTCAATATGAAATTACTTATTATCATCAAAATCTTTTATCTTTAGATGAAATTATTCATGATTATTATCGTACATATGAATATAATCCTAATAATTTTACTTGTTATACTCAATTACAATGTAATCGTGGTCCTTTTCCAGCATGTTTAGATTGGAGTGAAATTTGTGATGGACAAGTAGACTGTCTTGATGATGAATTTGATGAAGAACATTGCTGGCAACTTGAAATAAATGAATGTAATGATAATGAATATCGATGTACTAATGGACAATGTATACCTCAGTCGTTTTTTCGAGATGACATTAACACTCATGATTGTCTTGATGGTTCTGACGAAATTCCAAGGATCGTTGCACAAAGTGACAAATGTAAGACAGGTATACCATCGTTTGAATGTGAAGAAAAGACATGTCGGCATACATTCATAACAAATTCTTGTGTGCAGCAACGCAAAACCTTACTTTGGAAAGCGATCTATTCTGCTAAAGACAATTTGACATCTGAGCAATGTTGGTCAGCTTTCAAATGCCTTTTAGAAGTACCAGGTTCAGAAAAGTCATTGTGTACTGAAATTTGTGAAAAATCAGCATGTGCAAAGATCATTAACAACACATGTCCAGAAATTTTTTACATTCCGAATATTTCTCTTTTTTTTGGTCACATTTACCTCGCACATACAAAAGATGACTCATTATATTTGGCCAATAACAATTTTGTACCACCTTACGCATGTTATAGCAATTCTTATTATGATGATTATTCAATTGATCGTCCAAAGCTTTTATTCAAAAATAAAACATGTTTCCGTCCTTATATACCATACGGTCTAATGATTTTGTCCACTACATGGGAGCATAGATATCATCCACATTTATACTACCTATTCGAAAACTTGAAGATGTTTAATCTAATTACTAATTATACCTCTGCGATTTGTAATAGATCAAACATGTACCAGTGTTTGAATTCGTCAAAATGTATCCCAGTAAGTCGTCTGATGGACAATACTAACGATTGTCCATATATAGATGACGAAAACATAATGCAAATCAATAGCACTGATTTAACAAAACTTCTTAAACATCATTTCAAATGTCAAATAGCTAACAAGTATATACATCAATCACTTGTTAAAAACGAAGTCTGCCAATGTAGAGTTGAAGGTGAAAATTGGTGTGAAGATGAAGATTTTCATACACACTATGTCAGAAAGAATATTTCATTTCAAACTATTTGTGATGGATTTACTGAACTGATTCCGAAAATTATCGAAGGACAAAATGAAACAGATGAAACAGAATGTGAACAATGGCCGTGTAATAACATTTATACTCGTTGTGATGGTTTATGGAATTGTCCACATGGTGAAGATGAACTTGGTTGTGATTTATCTTCAACATTAAATTGTTTTTCAGATCATCACAGATGTGTTTCACTTCATACGAATGAACTCATTTCTCTTCCTGTTAAGCAAGCAAATGACGGCAAGATCGATTGTCTTGGTGCTACTGACGAACCAACATTATGTCAAGAAAAGTATCAGATAGAATTTTCATTTAATTTTTACTGCATAAATTCAAGCCGTCAATCATGTATTACATTTAAAAATCTATGTGATAAGAATACAGTTTGTGAACATGGAGATGATGAAACATTTTGTGTAAAAAAATCAAACAGATATTTCCACATATGAGAGTATTTGTCTTTCGTCTTATTCATCTATTCGTTCTGATGCCGAGCAGTTTTTATGTCACGAAACAAAATACAAGATAAAACAACAAATTAAATATTTTTCATTAGATGGAATGAACAAATCCGTCGAAGATCAAACTAAGAATATCATAAAACCAAGATTTTTCAGTTCATCTCGCATCGAAATGTCTGATCAACATGAGCTTCGATGTCATCGTGGTTTTGATTTACGTATCTGGTTAAACAATGAAAAGAACTTAACAATAAATACATGTCTTTGTCCACCTAGTTTTTATGGTGACATGTGTCAATATCAAAATCAACGAGTGAGTTTAACCATTAAATTTCGAGTATTATCAGATTCTTGGTCAACATTATTTGCAATAATTATTTCACTTATTGATGATAGTGAAGAAAGAATTATTCATTCATATGAACAATTTACTTATTTGTCAATAAGAGATTGTAAAATCAAATTTAATATTTATCTGCTCTATTCAACTCGACCAAAAAATGAAACCAAAAATTATGCTATAAAAATTGATATTTATGAAAAAATTTCATTAACCTATCAAGGAAGTTTATTGTTTCCAATAATATTTCCATTTTTACCTGTTCATCGTTTAGCATATATTGTCGACATTCCACGAATTAATGAAAACATTCAAACTTGTTTAAATTCTCAATGTATTCATGGAAAGTGTATGACATATTCGAATAATCCAAAAAATAATAGTTTTTGTCAATGTAATCGAGGATGGTCTGGACAATATTGTACTATTCCGTATAATTGCACGTGTTCATCTGATTCAATATGTATGGATAGGTCTGCTTACAACCGATCTGTATGTGTTTGTCCTATTAATAAATTTGGTGATCGATGTCTTCTTGTCGATACAATTTGTAAAACGGATAAAAATTTAACATGTCAACATGGCAGTCAATGTATTCCTGCTGATGAATATATGATATCGACCAGAAAATTTGTATGTATTTGTTCCAAAGGTTATATTGGTGATCAATTTGAAATAGTTGATAATAAAATAATTCTATCATTTCAAAAAAGTATTGTTTTATCACAATCAATATTTATTCATTTTATTGATGTTATTAATAATGGTGCACCGATAAGAACAACAACTTTTCGAACAATTTCTCTTATAAAAAATTCACTTACAGTTTATTGGTCACAACCATTTCATCTTGTTTTTATTGAACTTTTAAATAAAATTTATTATTTAGCTATTATTCAAAAAACTTATGAACGATCAACAACAATTAATAAAATGATAAATCCATCAGATCGTTGTCGACATATAAATGAATTATTTAATGAAACATTTGTTCAGATGCATATTCTTCGTCGCATTAAATATTATCATTTACCATGTCAAAAATATTCATCAAATCTTTCTTGTTTTTATGATGATCTTCATATTTGTTTATGTTATGATTATGAAAAACAACGTTTAGCAAATTGTTTTGACTTTAATCATAATATGAAATTTGATTGTTTAGGTCAAAGTGTCTGTGAAAATGAAGGTCAATGTTTTCAAGACACTCCAGATTGTCCACAAAGATCAATGTGTATTTGTCCAAAATGTTTTTATGGAACACGATGTCAATTTAGTTCAAGTGGATTTGGTTTATCACTTGATGCTATCTTAGGTTATCATATTCAACCACATATTAGTCTTATACAACAGCCAAATATTGTAAAGACCAGTTTAGCATTGACTCTAATCTTTATGGTAGTAGGATTTATCAATGGAGTTTTAGCTTTGATTACATTTAACAATAAAACTATATGTGAAGTTGGTTGTGGTTTGTATCTATTAGGTTCATCAATTACTACTTTACTTACAACAATTATATTTGGATTAAAATTTTGGATACTTATTTTGCACAAATGACACTTATATCTAATCGATTATTTTTAAAAATTCAATGTATATTTCTCGATTTTTTTTTACGAGTTTGTCTTAATATGGATCAATGGTTAAATGCTTGTGTTGCTACAGAACGAGCAGTAACAATAATAAAAGCTACTCATTTTCATAAGGAAACAAGTAAAAAACTAGCAAAAATAGTTATTGTTATTCTTGTGATTTTCACTATTGGTACTTCTATAACTGATCTTCTTTATCGACGTTTAATTCATGAAGACAATGAAGATTATAGACGTATATGGTTTATTGTTAGTTATCCATCTAGTTTAAAAATATTCAATTCTATTATGCATACTTTTCATTTCATGACTCCATGTATCATTAATCTGATGTCAGCTATTATTCTTATAACAAAAAAATCTCGTCAACGATCAAATCTTCAAATTAATCGAAATTTTAAAGAAATTTTAAAAGAACAAATCCTACAACATAAAAATTTATTGACTGCTCCCGTTCTATTAGTTATTCTTGCATTACCGCGTTTAATTCTTTCATTTGTATCAAGATGTATGGAATCAACAAATGATGCATGGTTATTTCTTATTGGATATTTTATTTCATTTACTCCACCTATGCTTACTTTTGTTGTATTTATATTACCATCAAAGTTTTACAAACAACAACTACATAAATTTCTCGCTGCTTATCGAATTAATATCCAAAGGTGTTTAAACTATTTTATATAAAAGTAAATAAAATGATTTTGTTGAAATTATTTATCAGTCTATTAATATTCAATTGTTCTTCTGACTAAATCTATTTTATGTTTTTTTTCCAAACATTGCTCGACAAGATAACGTAGTCGAGTATTTTAGTATTGTTATTAGATGTCAGAAATTTTTCACAGAATAAAGTTTTGAACTTTACGCATTTATCAGATGACTATACATCGTCGCCCTCGAAATTCTCCGGTTTCCACTTGATAGGGATCTATTCGACGGCTAACTCGATGGACTGTTCATCTACACTATGGTTTTTACACTTGCTATGAAACTGAAGCAGGATGCAAGTACTTTTCTCTAGTAGCTTTGGATAATAGTCTTTCATTTGTTAATAGAAATACAACCATAAGGTTTGTTTTACGCGTCGTATGAGCTGCTAGCAGTACATTTTTTTTATCAACATTTCCTGTTGAGAGAAAGCATAAAATACTTAACATTCTTATATTGATTTTACAAAACAGAAAGATTGTTTAAGCATTATTTTTCTAGACAGAAAATATGGGTCAAAATAAAAGAAGGTCTCTTTTTTGTTATCGTTAGTGTAATGCTTAAAATAAGAGCGACTATCGAGCATCTTCTAAGACTCAAATAATATTTTTTAAAGACTATTATAAGAAAGTGCTTATATCCGATTTCTACTATGAAATCGAATTGTTATTATTTATAAAAACAAACATATTATTTCTTTTTAGATCACTCATTGAAGCATTATGTGAAGATTCTATTATTATGAAACAATTTAAAACAGTTTATTTTTGTCTGTATGGATTTCATTCTATGTCATATTTGTCTTTTTGCTTTATCTTGTTTCGATACGCATTTGTAGATGAAACATTTAATAATTTGATGTGTTCTTTTTAATTCAAGCAATCTGAAGATGTGGGTGGGGTGTGAATGTTGATGCACTACAGAATTACAGCCTAACATCCATGTCTGCTCAAACTCACATCCTATCCGTAATTAAACTCATACCTATATACTGATACTGTATTTATGAGATTATTTTGTCTGTAACCGTGCTGAAAACCACTATCGAGGGTAAAGGATTAATTATATATTCAATTATTCGTGGAAAAAAGAATTTGTAAGGGTGTTCATGATATTTTAGTGTACGGTAATTGAGGAAGATAAAAGAAAATCTTCAATCACCAAAGGATAAGCAATATTTATTCCAGGTCCTCCACCATCTGGTGTTGTCCAAAAGCGAAGTTGACTGAGACGTGGATTCAATGTCGTTGCTAAAGTGAATGCGCGTCCATATTCTTTTCTTTGTATATCATCAACAAAGTAATATGTTTCTGCAATCCCATACGATTTAGGAGCTCTCAGAATTGCTAATGAAGCATCAGCATCATCAAAAATGTGACTCACTAAATCCAGATATGTTGCAGAACGACGATTGATATAACAAGAGAAATCAATTCTATTTGGTACTGGCACACGCTGATCAATAAGAAACTTAAGACTTCTATAGATCCAATACATTGATGGATGCCCATTCAAAGCGGGATATTTTGCATTCACATAGTCTGCTTGTAGAATGTGTTCTTCCTTTGCATCAGCGAGAAAATAGATCGATGGAGTGAAGCCCACTGCACTGACTTTCTCAACAAACCGTGGATAATGTGTGATAAGGAACCAGTCCTGATTTGCCTTGGCTCCTATCATTACTTCAGCTGCTAAATAAATATTCCGGACTAATAGAACACCATCTGGCTGAGAGACATTCTTCAGTGCTTCGAGAACGCTATCTGTCGTCCTTTCAATGAGTAAAGTGAATTCACTGGCGTTTAATTTAGAATATCTAAGTCCGACTGTAAGATTGCGTCTGATGTAATCAACTGCCCCTAACCAAAATAGTCCTACATCCAGACGTAATCGATGTCAATCTCATATGTTCTGAATGGATGCAACATCTTGAACAAAATGATGCAAATTATTTTTTTCCTGTTCACTCATTGGAAAAGTAGCTCGATAGCGTTCACCATTTGTTCTGCCAGGTTCATTGACGAACCATATACTTGTCGAAATGAAATTTGCACCATGATCTGCCATACCTTGCAATTGAGTCAGAACGATCGATTGAAATCCGGGTAGATGATACTGTGTTATGAAAAACTATCCGTAAAATTAGTTCCTATTGCATGATAATCGACACCAACTTCGTAGCCAGATGAAAGTATCATCATATTGAACATCAACAAAACGATCATTTTTGTGAGATGAGAACATACAATCTCTAACATCGCAGGACGCTATGAATTACTAGTTACAGAAGTGCATTATCTACTTCCGATGGGCACCACCAGGTGTTTTAATTTTGATCTAATCCGGTCGTTCGAGCTATCTTTCAGACTCTGCCGAGCACACATGCTTTTTCTCACTTGTGATGAATATAGTGGCAAATGTTGTTATATTAGAATGTCAATCTGTAATTTTTTTTATTCATCCTTAAAACATATTTTCAAAGGACTGGAACACTAAAGTGCATAGGTATACGTTTTGAGTAAGCCGTGAGAATGGTATTCAGATCAGGTTTTCCTATGAGACGAATGAAAAATGACATTGAGAATATCAACGGTGTATTCGAAATGCCACACAGAGACCATTGTAAGGATTATTTGGCTCGTTTGCTCTTCAATACCCCATCGAATGACCATTATACTGCACAATAATTGCCCAGAACAGTGTCTTGGTTGATGGAGATTCCTTTCCATGTAACCAATAACAAAGTATAGTCATAAGCGCCACTTTCAAGGGATGAATAAAATTGATTGTTTTCGAATCAAAGTCAAATCAAAACATCGAAAAGTCAACATTACTTTTATTGCAGAAACCATATTTGGAATTTCTCATAATATTTCGATCTGAAAAAGGTGTTCATAGAAATAGCTATAGCTTAGAAACTAATCTGAAAGTTCTTTCTTTTTATTGTTTTTTTCGTCTACTATTATGAATATTATCAGATTAATAACTCATCTAAATGAATAAGCTTTCTCTTAAACGGTTTTCTCAGAAAGGTAAATGTTTATATTAACTTTGATAAATCAATATAAATGTATCTTTGTATTTTTTTTTGTATATTATGTCTACGTTAATCATTCTTCATACAATGAAAATGATGAAAAAACTTTTTAGTTCTATCAAAATAGAAGTCTATTGAAAATATTATTTGATAATGTTCTCAATATTCATTATAGTGAAGAATAAAATCAGATATACATTCAACCATTTGAATACCATGCTATTGTTAGAATGAAATATTCTGTGAAAAGAGTCATGAATCGACGAGTGGATGGGTGTGAGTGTGGGTGTGGTGGGTGTGAGTGTGGGTGTGGTGGGTGTGGGTGTGTATGAAGACAGCATGAATACTTAAACCCACACCCCACCCACCCACCCACACCCACACCCACCCTCAATTCTGCAACAGCCAATTGAGTATCCTCACGATTATGATTTGTTTATTATGTTTGCAATAAAACAAAAAAAATTCAAAAAGGGTGTGGGTGTGGGGTATGAGTGTGAAAGGAAAAGGAACACACTCACACCCACCCACACCCCACATCCCTACCCCACCCCCCACACCCCCCCC